CCTGGCTGGTGTGGCTCAGTTGGTTGAGCATCATCCCATGCACCAGAAGGTCACCGGTTCAATTCCTGGTCAGGGCACATACCCAGGTTTCGGGTTTGATCTCCGTTCAGGGTGCATATGGAAGGCAACCAATCGATGTTTCTCTCTCTCTCTTTCTCTTCCTTCCTCTCTCTAAAAATAAATAAAAAGATGTTTTAAAAGATATACCCACAAATATACAGAGTGTCCCCAAAAATGTATACACACTTTGAATAATTATAAAGGCAGTGTTTATTAAAATACCTTTCATTTTCAAAATGTAATAGAATCTACATTAAAAAAATGTGCGTACATTTTTGGGACACCATATATGTGTATATATATATGAATACATAAAGGTATTTGAATATAACAAAGTAATATACATATATACTATATAAAAAGTATATTGATAGAGTATATAAAAAGATATACATATAAGTACATGCATGTTAATATTAACAATTATTTTCTCCAGGTAAAGGAACTATAGGTAATTTATATCTTCTTTTATACTTTTCTGCATTGGACCTTTTCTAGTAGAAACTTATAATTTCCACAATCAGAGAAAAAGTGAAAATAAGACCATTCGGTTTAAACATACACACACGCACACACACACTTATCTTGATGTGAGACAAGGAAAAACCATCTAACTATATGTTGCTTCTTGTCCCATCTCACCGCTCGCCCCCAGGAATAGGCCAGTGTGGGTCAAGGTGGAGGCATTGCCCTCCATAATAACAAATTTTCTCCCTCCACCCAATAGTTTTCTCCTCCCCTCTGTCCTTTGTTAACTGCGTTCAACTCGCAGTTCTCGTTCTGGTCACCAGATGGCGCGCTGACCTCTATTTTCTAAATACTCTTCAAACCGGGATTCGGCTGGATGCCCAGTAGGGGGCGTGCAGAGGCAGCCGATCAATGACTCTCTCATCATTGATGTTTCTGTCTCTCTCTCTCCCTCTCCTTTCCTCTCTCTGAAATCAATAGAGATATATTAAAAAAAAAAAAAAATGGGTATTGTCTTGGTAAACAGAAGGTTTAAAGAAAACGCTGATTTTTACACATAGCTTATGAATCAGTCCATTCAATACAATCCCACTTTAGTTTGAAAAATACATATTCATATTAAAGGATAGCAGGATATACAATTGAATTCTTCATTTATTCAATACTTCAATAAATATTCATTCCTAGGGTGCTTACTATATGCCAGGTATCCACAGGCACAATCCATATTTCCATGCCAATTTCTTTTCAGAATTCTAGATACTGTACTTGTATCTAACTGCCGACTGGGCAATTCTACCTGGATAAAGATAATAATGTGAAAACTCACCCAAATGCACAAACCAACAATATAATACTTAGCAAGTCCAAATTAATTACATATTCCCTAAACCCTGGGGAACTACGATCAAAACTGGAGGCAGTGTGGGAGGGTAGGAAGAAGGCAGAATTTTATTCAGACAAATCTGAGTTAGAACACAAGATCGGCCTCTTATTAATCTGTATAATCTTATTCCTCATTTGTAAAAGTAATTGAGTTTTGATTAGTATTTCTGAATTGGAGAAAGAGGAATCTCTGGGTATTTTTTAAGGACCCTAATCCTGATCCCTCTCTGCTGCCTCACCACAGGGGCTCCCACTCTCATGCACTATCTCCTAAGAGCCTGGGAGGACATCCTGGTTAGCACAGAGCTCTCTCTCCAGGGTCCTAGACCCTCAGTGCTTTCTTCTCTGGAATTGGCCAGGCAAGTCGCCTCTCAGACATGTGATGGAGATACCAGCCTTCTGCCTGGGCAGGGAGGTGGTGAAGGGACCCAGAGAACCTGGCTCTGGATGCTGCTGATCCTCCACCATCGATGCCTTCAAAAGCATCTTCACGCCAATTCACAGTTTGATAGCCCTGGCCTCCAAGTCGTGGGCTGGACTTGCAGTGCATAGGGGTGTTCACACAGGTAGTGACACTTTTCTCCTGAGTTGGAGGACCACATGGTTTTGCAGGCTCCCTTTACCTGGGGTCTCCTGTGCCTCTGAGCCTGGGCTGATGCAGACATCACAAGCACTGCGCCAGGCACACGCACAACTAAAATCACCACAGAACCACCCAAACAGGCCGGGACACATCCAAGACCCTTCTGGGAGTCTGAGCAAGGTGGGTAGGGGAACAACGGGTGAGGTCTTGTTGGAAGTCCATCACTATTGGGGGAGGGGGGCTCACTTCACTGTACTCTGAGAGAAGGACCAGCTGCGTCTGCTTCAGCCCCAAGTGACCTGGTCAGGCCCAGGTCAGAGGTCTTGCTCAGAGATGATCCCAACCAATGTTCCCAGCTAGAAATCCTGGGGGCTTTATCTCCTCCCCTGCAAAAAGTTCTCCAAAAGAGAAACAGAAGAAAGGAAAGGCAAAGTGCTCTGACTTCAGATGGGGCCAGTCATTGTCCTCCAGGTAAGCATGTCCAGGACTGCCTGGCCATCAGCCTAGGAGGGTCTGGTGCCTGCTGCAGGCTGGGGCAGAGAAACCAAAGTCACAACCTGGAGAGGAGTGTGGTTGGGTGAGTCCTTTCACATCCTACCTTAGCACCACCTCTTAGAGACCAGGGGAATGGATTTATCCTGTCTGTAAAATTGCCACAGTGAGCCCCTGGACTCATGTCACTCCAGCAGGAATCTATCCCAACCAGCAACCACCAGGCTGCCATAACCTTGAAGACTGCTCTGGAGACCCAAACATCCTCCCAAATGGCATCACTCAGTAAGAAAAATAAAAACAAAGTCAAGGACACGGGGCTGGCTTATTATTTTGTGGACTGATTACCAAAAAGAACTTTGAATTTCTTTCTTTTTAAAAATTAAATTTATTGGGGTGACAATGGTTAATATGAACATATAGGTTACAGGTGTGGGTTTCTATGTTACAAGATCTGTATATTGCACTGTGTGCCCACCACCCAAAGTCAAATCTCCCGTCACCATATATTAGAATCCCCTTCACCCCCCACCCCCTTCCCTCTGGCAACTACCACACTGCCGTAAAGCTGAATTTATTTCTGATGCATTTTACTCATATTGGAAGCAATGCAAGGCATACATGTCTGTCATGGAAAAATACATCTGGCTATTTTGTCATCTCTGTTAGCTTTTTATTGTGTATGGTCTTGTTTTACTGTAAGAAATCTCAATTTTATGTAATAAAATTGATGAGGTTTTTAGTTTCTTTAAAAATATGCTTAAACAAGACTTTCACCCTTTTAATTTTGATACAATCATCTGTATTTTCTTCTATTTGTGTCAGTTTATTCTTACTGTAATTAGGAGTATATTGTATACAGCAGTGGCTCTGTGACTTGTGTGCTAATTTACAAAAATAGCAGATTTAGTGGGTCTGGGGTAAAGCCCAGGTCTCTTCATTTTCAATAAGGGAAACACTGATATATAAAATATATAACCGACTATAATGTTACATTGGGGAAAACAATTCCCCCACTGTGATCCCTTTGGAACTGCAAATCATATTTTCTAGAGAAGTTAGCACACTCACTGAAGTTTACATAGTCAATAAAACAGAAATTAGGGTTCATGACTGAGTGGGTTCATACTTTTATAAAAATATATATCTTTATTGATTTCAGAGAGAGGAAGGGAGATGAAGAGAGAGAGATAGAAACATCAATGATGAGAGAGTGGTCATTGATCCATCAGCTGCCCCCTGCACGCCCCCCCTACTGGGGATCAAGCCACAACCCAGGCATATGCCCTGATCGGGAATTGATCCGGTGACCTCTTGGTTCATGGGTCAATGTTCAACTACTGAGCAACACTGGCCTGGCCTGAGTCATACTTTAAAAAAATTACTAACCACTGTCTGTGTGTCTAGAACTAATGAGATCAATAGAACAAAATCATAGGTTTTATAAGGATAGTTTAACAGAGAAATCATAATATCTGATACATAAACACATATATGTATATGCATATATATAGTATTTTAATGACTTACAAAGTACTTTTGTTGATGTGGGTGGGGTAGAAGGGAAAAGTTTCTAGCTTGAGCCTTACTTTCCTCTTTAGTATAAACAAATTGAGCAAGTCAGCTGAATTGATAAGGCAAGCCTGCGAGAAGAGAACTCACCCTAAAGCAAGTGTTAAGCAATTAAAACCAAAATCCTTGGAGATTATTTGGGAGGGAAATTCCAAGTACACAGCATTGTATCTGGCTCACAGATTTGTCTCCTGGCCCAGGTCCCAAGGAACTCATGTTTGAGTCCAGTGGAGAAAAGGGAGGTTTTCAGGAAAAACAAACAAACAAACAAACAAAAAACCCACGAAGGACTATTTTGCAAAGAGTCTTTAAGACATTAAGGTTTAAGCAGCACTGGGATGTTATCCACCTGGATAAGTATAATATTAAAGCTGGAGAAAGAGCATTCACCAAATATTTGTAGGAGACACAACTGCATATATGTATATATGCATATACATATATTTGTGTTTTGCACTCTGTGATGGGGGTCATGGAAGGAGCAGGACCCAAGAAAAGGGGCAACTGTGCCTAGCAGACATGACAGTATCCATGGGAAGAGAATAGCAGGACAGGAATAGAAGGTGACACTCACCTGGAATCTCACAGGAATTGTGAGTGCAAGTGAGCCCTCCTTCCCAGACTCTCTAGGG